TTTGCATAAAGCTGTAAACAGGTATGCAGGTATGACTATAGTGGTGTGGATTCACCCTTTTGATAATATTATTTAATGTAGAATTTAGATCAGTGAAAATTTTTTGCACCCAAATTTTTCTGTGATTAAAACAATGAGCTCCTTGACTCGGTTTTCGGAACTCACTCTTAATGTAAAAAACCTTTAACATACAGATAAAACATCAGTGCACACCCTTAAGCAATGTTTCTAACACACCTTATTTGTTTCAACATATTCGTTTGTACTTTAAATATCTTACCTCGAAGACTTTGTTTTAGTATTTCTTTGCAGGACAAATTATGTTTTTTCCCCAAGCATTTCTCTTCAGTCTAACTAGATCTATTAACTGGACACAATTAGTAATGCTTATAGGTTCGTCAATCTTTTTTTATTTATTTAACTATCTTCTAGATTAAGGTTATCTCTACATCACCTCACATGTCATAAGTGTATCTATTAATGGTACTATTCAAAAGTGGTATCTTTTCTATGCCTTTGCCTTGCTTGCCCCGAACATAGACAACTTTACATAGGCTGTTAAATTGAGTGATTCTGCAATTATGTATGTGATTTGACTTTAGCTATGAAACTGAGCTTAACCTAATACTGGTGTAACTGATTTCATAAAAGAATTTTGTTTCTTATTTTGAGCTAATTATTATTATTTGCATAAAAAGTGATTTACGCTTCCTGATTTCTTAGTTTTCTTGGTTGGTCATTTCTGCAATACTGTTTTGAAAGTTATCTCTGAAAGCGCATCCTAGAACCTGTTCCTTCAGCCCTTACAACACTAAAAAACAAAACAAAACAAACCCGTTGACGTCGAGTCAATTCCGATTCATACAACAGTATTAAAACCAAAAAAACCCAAATCCATTGCTGTCGAGTCGATTCCGACTCATAGTGACCCTATAGGACAGGATAGGACTGCCCCATAGGGTTTCCAAGGAGCGCCTGGTGGATTTGAATTGCCGACCTTTTGGTTTGCAGCCGAACTCTTAACCACTACGCCACCAAGGTTTCCACAACAACACTTAACACTTTTAATTCCCTGCTAGCGAGAATGGATTTTGTTACTTGCAACAGAACTTCAAAACTCTTACTGTAATGGAAATCAGAAGTGGTTTTTGACCTTAGCACCTCGAAGATGTAAATCTGGCACTGGTTATTAAACATGCTTGGATTTGGAAACAGTGAGAATCTGGTTACTTTTAGAGGCTGTCTTTTGGAATCACCTGTGGTCTCCTGGAAAGAAGTGCCTATGGAGGACAGTTTTGACAGACCAAGTGGCCGTTACCATAGAAAGTGGACAAAACTGATGTCTTAATTGCTGATTAAGGAGCCCTGGTGGCCAATGGTTAAGCGCTTGGCTGCTGACAGAAATGTAGGCGGTGAACCCACCAGCCCTCCAGAGGAGAAAAGAATTGGCGATCTGCTCCGGTGAAGATTTGAGTCTAGGAAACCCTATAGGGTCGTTCTACTCTGTCCTGTAGGGTCACTATGAGTCAGAATTGACAGGACAGCACAGGACAACAACCCAGTTGCTGATTGGGGTGTGGGGAAGAAGAGAAAGGGGGGTTATTTTTACATTTAAGAGATGGGGAGGAATGACTGAAAGAGGAAAGAAAGGAGGAAGAAGAAGGTTTTGAGTTGGTCACAGGACACCCTAGTGCACGAAAAGTTGAAAATGCAGGTCTGCAATTTAGCAGAGTCCGGGCAAGAAATGGTGGGTTGGAAGTCATCTGCACAGAGATTGTGGCTGAGGCCTGCAGCTGAGAGAAGGCAATGCATCAGAGTACTTGAATCCACAGCCAGTCCTCTGGCCAGAAACTGAGGCTGCACTGCCTCCTGATTTACAGCTTTCACCGGACTGGGCCTGGCCCAGCTAGGAAGAGGAGTATTCCAGGTTCCCATTCTGCCCCAAAGCCCTGGACTCAGGAAACTGAGGAGGCATTTGGCCCTGCGGGTACAGAACACCACCCCCGGCGGGACAATGGGCTCTTCGGACAGCTGAGCGCGCTCCCACGACGTGCGCACGCGCGGCCCGGCGTCTCCTAGCAACCAGGGCCAACAGCGGACTGGGAGACTCAGGCGAGCGGCGGCGGGTGCGGTTCGCGAGGTTTGAGGATCCGCTGCTCGGCGGGAAATCTCGGCAGGTAAAGGCAGGCCCGCGGCTGCAGGCTACCCCCTTGGAGTTGGAGAGGCCCGGGGCAGAGGCTGGCGCAAAGCTTGGTGAACGAGAAGGAGCCGCGCGGGTGGGGACTGCTGGGGCCACTGAGGGAACACCTTGTTAGGAGTTGTAGTTCCTTGCCCAGCACCCACAATATAAGATGGACGTTGGTGGGTTTCATAACATTCCTGCCACTGCCCATTTAACAGGTGACAAAACTGAGTCCCCAAGAGGGAACATGAGGGTCAGTTAACTTGACTGTGAGCAACTCGGGAAGAGGGCCCTCCTCTTCCCCTTTAAGACTTCTCAAAAGAAATCTTCCCCATTAGAAAACTAGCTAAGATCAAAAGCTGAACATACACAAAAGGAGAAATACAAGTAACCAATAAACTCGTGAAAAAATGTGGCTGCTCTGCAATAATCAAGAAAATACTTGAAAGCTTTTTTATTTTTCAAATCCAGTGCCCTAAAGTTCATAACTTTCATCCAGTTATTTTACTTCTAGGGATTTATCTTAATGAAACAGTTGGGGATGTGGACGAAAATTTGATGCCCAAAGATGTTCTTTGCAGCCTTGTCCATAATTCCAGAAAATTGGAAACAAATGCTCAACAATTAGGAGACAGGTTAGATAAATAATCGATTTTAAAATATTATTTTAAATGACATGATATGCTGATCCATTTGGGGATGATTGGATAGATAAATGGTAAAGGAGACAGATTTCGTGATCTTGTCCATTTATTCTTTAAGAATACAGTAAGGAAATGGTCCCAATCAGGAAAGGGGTGGGAATAGGGAATAGGAAATACAGGTAGAATGGTAAAATCACTGTAGAAAACACACCCCAAAAAGGAACTATCAGAACACTAATAGTGCTGATCTACCTGCCTTTATCTCGGGGTGATTTTTATTTGATTCTATTTGCCCTTCTCTGTTTTCTAATTTCTCTGTAATGAAATCTGTTACTTTTATAGAAAAAAAGTTATTAAAAATATTAATGAGCAGAGTGGTGAAATAGTCAAATGGGTTTAGTTCAACTGCTTCAAAAAGTCAAAAGGATTTATTTTCTTACTTTGAGGGCTTTGTAGCTTTAAAGGAGCCCTGGTTGCTCAGTGGTTAAAGCCATCTACTGCTGAGAGGTCAGCAGTTCAACACTACCAGTGGCTCTGCAGGACAAAGACGCGGTAGTCTCCTTCTGTAGAGGTTTACAGCCTTGGAAACCTTTGGGGTCGCTATGAGTCAGAATTGACTGGACGGCAGTGAGTTTGGGTAGCTTTAAAGGAAACAAATATTTAATAAAATAGTATAAGGTAATGTTACTCTAAGGAGCCCTGATGGTGCAATGGTTAAGCACTCAGCTGCTAACTGGAAGGTCAGTGGTTCAAACCCACTAGTGGCTCGGGGGAGAATAGACCTTGCAATCTGTTCCCATAAAGATTTACAGTCTAGGAAACCCTATGGGGCAGTTCTATCCTGTCCTTTGGGCTTGCTATGAGTTAGAATTGACTTGGTGATCCATAACAACATTACTATGATGCTGAACAGGTTTCAGTGGTGCTTCCAGACTAAGATAGACTAAGAAGAAAGGCTTGGTGATCTACTTCGGAAAAATTAGCCAGTGAAAACCCTATGGATCACAATGGTCAGATCCAGTTGTGCATGGGGTTCGCCATGAGTCAGAGGTCCACTTCTCAGCAGCTAACAACAATTTAGTGGAAATCATGATTTTAAGTGAAATGTTGAGTTTATAAATTTTTTTTTTGATCTTACAGTCTTCTCTGAGGCCTATTTCCCCTGGGCCTATGTCAGTTCTATACTCTCTGCCCCATTAACTATTATACCTGGTAAGGTAATATAAGCACAAACTCTTCCTATTTCACAGTATTGCCTAGGACCAGCTCTATCATTGCAATATTGTTATGTTAGGCTAGTCCCGCCTCTGCACTCTTCATTACACAATGGCTCAAAAATACTATCTTGAAATAGAAAAAAGTAAGTTTCTGAGTGAAAATCAGTTGACTTAAAACAACTTTATGCAGGTATAACTTAATTGCTTCTTGAATATTTTTCATCAGGAACTTTTTATAAATCAAAGGTTGCTATATCTTTGAATTGGTTACAACGAGGAACTGTGAAATTTCTTTTCCTAGAGACCTAATTATAGGATATATTCTCATTTGTCCAGAATGGTTTCTGTGTGTCTGCCTAAAGGATTATAGGCACAGGGTCTAGGGCCTATGAGCTTTTTAAGCATCTGTGAAGGAAGGTGGAGATGTGGGAAAAAAAAAAAAAAAAGGCTCTAAAATATGAAAAGAAAACTGGGAAATCAATATTAAATAAAGTGTTTTGATGAATATTAAAATTTTTTTGCATTTGAAAACAATTTTCTCATTTTACAAGAATTTTAACTATGCAAACCAATTGCTGAGTAGTTTCACATGCAAATTTCAAAACTATTATGATGAAAATTATGTTTAACAGGGAAGTGGGTACATTTTTGCATTTTAATATATTGGAGATAGTGTGAAGTAGTATATCACTGAGTAAACTTGCCTAGGCCCTCAGAGGTCTTAAAATTTATGAGTCCTAAAGTTAGGAACCTGGAATAGATATCTTTCAAAGTCCCTAGGAGTTTCTATGAATGTGTGGCTTTGTAATGTATGTGATAAATTCTGGTCAGCATCTCTAAAGCCAGTGATTGCTTTTGTCCCTAGACATGCAATTTGAACTAACCTTGGTTTTCTACCTCACAGGATTTCTCTTGAGTTCCTTGGGACTAGAATATACCATCTGAAATTGCTCTAGTGCCCAATATAACCCCATAAACTCTCATTGGAGAAAACTAGAAAGATTTCCAGGATCATTCTAACAGGTACCAACATCTTGGAAAGTTCTTAGTACCCAGGTTGAATTACTCCTCTGTGATATGTTAACTGTGAATACTATTCCTTTGACCCTTTTCCACATAAGCACGGGCATATGAGGGCAGGTGGAAAAGGGTTGTACCAGGAATAACCCCAATATCCCCAGAATATATCTCTTCAGATTCTTAATTGAGTTGTTATTGAGTTATAGATTATATTAGAGAAAACTTATTGTTATCGGGGAAATTGACAAAAATGATAAGTCAGAGTTAGTAGGATCTTGAATACCATTCCCAAAATCGTTACTCCCAGGAAAAATGGAGTTAATGATTTCTATAAATACCAAATGCCTACTACAGTATATACCAGATACTGTTCTAGACACTGCTGGGATACACCATTGCTGCAAAATAGACAAAATATCCTGCCTTTTACAGTACTTATATTCTTTGCATATCTCAAAAGTAACTTGGATTTAGGCTCTGAAGCCCCGCATATATGTGCTGTCATCACAGCAAACTATTTCTTTTATGTAAGTAAAAGTTATGTCACTAATATGTTCACCTCCTTTCCAAACTGGAAGCCAGGACTAATTCTCAACAGTCTTTCTAGTAAGTTCCTTTAAAGTTATAAAGTTTGAAATAGAGAAATAGTTAACATATTTGTACATATGCAATAATTTCTACCTGTATTGCATTTTCTTTTAGAATAGGTAAAAATTTCAAGAAGGGATTAAAACCTCCTCCTAAGGACATAGGTAAATGAGAGATTTGTATATATTTAATATACAAATGACACTTTAACCATTTACTGTTTCTTTTTCTAGAATGGGTAAAAAGATAAAGAAGGAAGTAGAACCTCCTCCTAAGGATGTGGTAAGTTTCTGATTTGAATACCAGTAGCACTTTAACAACCAGTTTGGCATGTACCAGAATATACATGAGTACATGGTGGCAGAAGTCCAAAGTCTGACTAATGATAAGATTAGTCAGAGAAATCTAACATTATATAAACGTTTACAACATTGTCATTACATAATTATCACAATTAGAGAGCAATTATTAGCTTTTCCAGTATGTGGATGGCATGTTTATAAGCCTAGTTAATAAATAAATACTTTTGGTTTGTTCTTTTAAGTACTTTACATTTGCCAATCTCTCACTAATGTTAATTATCCAAGTGAATTCTCAAAAATAACTAGATGTTTTGCTGTAGCTATTAGATATGTGTGTAAAGTTGTCTGAAGATGAGTTCAGCCACTTGGATATCAGAAGTCCTCTTTTCCAGTTGTATAGAGACAGAAGTCTGATTCATCATCTTCTTCATAATCCAAATGCTTAAGAAATGCCTTGCACCCTCCACAAAGCCCTTGCCTCTCTGTTTAAAGCATAGTTATATCTTATCTCTCTAAAGTTTTATAAATTTCTGAAAGATTGTGTTAAAAATGGAAGATGATCTTTGACAGTTTTTTGTTTAGAAACTTATTTTGAAACAGACATTAATGTTATTTTTCTGCAAATAAAATGTGAATGGAAAAGAAATTATTATAGTCCGTTGACTAACAGGATTTTAAAGTTCGAAGGAACCTGAGCTTAATGCAGGAATGTCCCCTACAGCACTGGAGCATTGTGGTTAAGAACATGGGCTTTATTCCAGCTCTGCCCCTCACAAACTGTGTTATTTTGGCCAAGTTGCCAAACTTGATCAAGTTATTTCAGCTTCTTTTTATCTCTTAAACGGGAATTGTAATATCCAATTCATTTAAGTTGTTGTATTTTAAGTCCCTGAGTGGTGCAAATGGTTAATGTGCTTGGCTGCTAAACAAGAGTTTGGAGGTTCCAGTTCACCCAGAGGCTCCTTAGAAGAAAGGCCTGGTGATCTACTTCCAAAAAATCAGCCACTGAAAACCCTATGAAGCACAGTTCTACTCTGACTCAAATGGGGTCAGCATGAGTTATAATCAACTCCAGGGCCACTGGTTTAGTTATTGGATCTTTTAAATGAAATAATGTATGTAAAGTATTCTGTGCCTGGCACATAGTTAACAGTCAATAAGATCTATTATAATGGTGATCCTCTGGGCTCTGCTTCACACACACACATACACACATATGCAATTAACTATTTTGATCATCCATTAATTTGCCCACTCTCCTTTGAACATATTCCTAAAATGTTCTGGAATCTTATTTTTTCATTGTACCCTAGGTTTGCATCATCCCTTTTTTTGCTGCCCTATCACAATTGGCATCTTATTAGCAGAAAGTGGGCTTCTGAACACAGCACTTGATAGCAAACACATTTTGATTAAAATTAAATTAACACACTGTCCTCAAGTCAATTCTGACTCATAGCGACCCTATAGAACAGAGTAGAACTGCCCCATAGGGTTTCCAAGGAGCGGCTGGTAGATTCAAATTGCCGACCTTTTGATTAGCAGCCATAGCTCTTAACCACTGTGCCACCAGGGCACCAAAATTAATTAAAAGTCTTTTATTTCTTTGTCTAATACACTTCCTGTAATTTTATAAGGTCTTGCTAGTGTTGTCCTTTGTTCCAATTCTTGGGGGCACAATTAGGACTTAAGAGACAATTCCAACCCTAGCATTAACAAAAATACAGCTCTTGCTTCCTCAGTTCAACTGCCTCGAGGTAGCCGAAGACTTGTGTAACAATTACCAGTGGTCCTGGACTCTTGAGCTCTATCTTGAATCAATGCCTTTCCCAAGGTTTGTTCTGTCCTTACCCTATTCTGACTTTCATGTTAATAAAACTGGTAGAGTAGTATTAAAATATTTAACCTCTTCTATATCTTGTAAATTTTAATACTTCAAAATAGTATACTACAATTTACAGAATATTAGCTTGGAAGTTTTTCTTGGGTATACCTATTCAAAGTCTGTGAAAAGTTTGTTATACAAATTAAAAATGAAAATAAGATTTAAACAAGGGATATATAATTACTTAAGAAAATAAACTTTTTTTGTGTCAACTAATGGTAATTTAATTCTTAAAGAAGTTCCTAGTAACATTATTTCCGAAGATTTTAATTTTTATTAGTCTTTCACCTACTGGTTAAAATGGGTAATAAGGACGTCAAGAAGAGTGTTTGTTGGTGTGATTAAAACAAAAAACTCCCTTTGATTTTCTTAATATTCTCATTTGTCATAACATACATTAACGTGTGCATTTATAGTTTGTTGATCTCCATTTCTTCTTATAAAAGAGAACACTAGCTAAGAAGATGCCTAGATATGGAGAAGATATGATTTGCATTAACAATACAACAATACTATGCCTTCCAAAATAATTTTCATGTCTGGCTGAAAGTTTGTTTGTGATGCTTCAATAATAGGCAAACTTTCTGTCAAATGATTACATGAAAAATTACTGCCACAAGTGATCCTATTAGGCAAATTCTGGAGTTATGCTGTCTGAATTATGCCACTCCGTTATCCACCATCTATAACCTTGGGCCACCACTCGTCTGTCAGTTTGTCATACTCTTGTGGCTTGCGTGTTGCTGTGATGCTGGAAGCTATGCCACTGGTATTTCGAATAGCAGAAGGGTCACCTATGGTGGAAAGGATTCAGCAGAGATTCCAGACTAAGACAGACTAGGAAGAAGGAGCTGGTTGTCTACTTCTGAAAAAAAATTATCCAGTGGAAACCTTATGAATAGCAACCTAATATTATCTGATCCAGTGCCAGAAGATGAGCCCCTTTGGTTGGAAGGTACTCAAAATACGACTGGGAAAGAGCTGCCTCCTCAAAGTAGAGTCGACCTTAATGATGTAGATGGCGTAAAGCTTTTGGAACCTTCATTTGCTGATGTGGCACAATTCAAAATGAGAAGAAACAACTGCAAACATCCTTTAATAATTGGAACATGCTAATCCACCACATGAGTAGAACAACTAAAAAAGAATCACATGATCATTTTAATCAATGCAGAAAAGGCATTTGATAAAATCCAACACCCATTCCTGATAAAAATTCTCAAAAAAATAGGAATAGAAGGGAAATTCTTCAACATAATAAAGGACATCTATAAAAAACCAACAGTCAATATCATTCTCAATGGAGAGAGGCTGAAAACGTTCCCCCAAGAACAGGAACAAGACAAGGATAACCTCTATCACCACTCCTATTGAAAACTGTGCTGGAAATCCTAGCTAGATGGGAAAGGAAGAAGTAAAACTATCCCTATTTGCAGATGATATGATCCTATACATACATAACCCAAAAGATTCCGCAAGAAAACTACTGGAACTTATAGAAAAATTCAGCAGAGTAGCAGAATACAAGACCAACATACAAAAATCAGTTGGATTCCTCCACACCAACAAACAGAACATCGAAAAGGAAATCAGGAGAACAATACTATTTATAATAGCCCCTGAAAAGATAAAATACTTAGGAATAAATCTAGCCAGGGGCATAAAAGACGTGTACAAAGAAAACCACAAAAGTCTATTGAAAGAAACCAAGAGTCCTACATAAATGGAAAAACATACCATGTTCATGGATAAGAAGACACAACAGTGTGAAAACGTCATTCCTACCCACAGCAATCTACAGATAAAATGCAATCCCAATCCATATACCAATAGCATTCTTCAACGAGATGGAAAAACTAATCACTGATTTTATATGGAAAGGAACGAGGCCCCAGATAAGCAAAGCATTACTGAAGAAAAAGAACAAAGTACGAGGCCTCACGCCACCTGATCTCAGAACCTACTATACAGCCACAGTAGTCAAAAGAGCCTGGTACTGGTACAATGACAGACACATAGACCAGTGGAACAGAATTGAGAAGCTAGATGTAAATCCATCGTCCTATGGTCAGCTCATCTTTGACAAAGGACCAAAGTCCATTAAATGGGGAAAAGAGAGGATGTCCATCTGTAAAAAAATGAAACAGGATGCATACCTCACACCATACACAAAAATTAACTCAAAATGGGTCAAAGACCTACATATAAAACCTAAAATGATAAAGTTCATGGAAGAAAAAATAGGGACAACACTAAGGGCCCTAATACATGCCATAAAGAGAATACAAACCATAATTAACAATGCACAAACACCAGAAGATAAACTAGATAACTGGGATTTTCTAAAAATTAAACACTTATGCTCATCAAAAGACTTCACCAAAGAGAACCTACAAACTGGGGAAAAAAAATTTGGCTACGACATATCCGACAAGGGTCTAATCTCTAAAATCTATAGAATACTGCAGTACCTCAATAACAAAAAGACAAATAATCCAATTAAAAAATGGGCAAATTATATGAACAGATGCTTCACCAAAGAAGACATTCAACCCACTAACAGACACATGAGGATATGCTCCCAGTCGTTAGCCATTAGAGAAATGCAAATCAAAACTACAATGAGATACCATCTGACCCTGACATTACTGGTATGAATTAAAAAAAAAAAGAAAATACCAAATGCTAGAGAGGTTGCAGGGAGATTGGAACTCCTATGCACTGCTGGTAGGAATATAAAATGTTACAACCGCTATGGAAAACAATATGGCATCTCCTTAAAAAACTAGAAATAGAAATACCAGACAATTCAGCAATCCCACCCCTTAAAGAAATAAGAGCTGTAACACAGATAGACATATGCATGTCCATGTTTACTGCAACATTATTCACAATAGCAAAAAGATGGAAACAACGTAAGTGCCCTCAACATGTGAATGGATAAACAAATTATAGTACATACACACAATGGAATATTACACAATGATAAAAAAGAATGATGAATCTGCAAAACATCTCACAGCATGGATGAATCTGGAGGGCATTATGCTGAGTGAAATAAGTCAATCACAAAAGAACAAATATTGTATGAGACC